CTCAGCCCGAAGCACTTTCTACCAAAGGAGTACAGGTGGGCACGGTGGGCACGACATGCGTCTGGTATTGATATGCTTGCCACCATGTGTGTCCAGAGGTTGATANCCTTGTGCGCTTCAAGCCTGCAGACCTGATACCCCTGTTCCCTCCCCTGTAACCACCGTATTTTTCCATAATCCTTTTCACGTGCCTGTTGTGGCACGGGGTCTTTGCCGTCGGGACTCTGAGGGACACACACCGTGGAGCGAAGGAGGCCATGCAGTACTGGACTGCCACGAGACAGTATGTCCGGAAGAAGGGCGAAATGGTGTTCGCAAGGTTCGGATCCTTGGTGTTCGTGGAGTGGAAGGATTCCAAGGTCGTCAAATTCCTGTCCACAGTNTGGTTTTGAAATACTTGCCACCATGTGTGTCCAGAGGTTGATTATACGCTCGTGATTATGTGTCTAGATACCGTGGCTCATATCCTGACCATGCTGACACATAACCTTCTACATCCGGCCCCGTGCGCCCTCGCCGTTTCCGTCCACATCGACAGCAAGCACGTGGCGGGACAAAAGTCGAAGGCAGACGGCTTCCAGCCTTGGTGTAGATTCCACTACAACAAGCACATGGGGGGAGTAGATATCTCGGACCAGCACAACGGAGCGTACCTGACAAAACACCGTGCTAAAAAATATTTTTGGCGACATCTATTTGAACAGAAGTTGATACAGGCCTGTACGAACGCGTAGTTGATGTTTCGGTGGTGGTTGAGACACATGCAGAGTGGGGTGGCGGAGGCAATCAAGCAGTTGGAACAAAAGGGGGTGATGGAGGGCGAAGAAACTGCAGATGGGCTGTTTTTCAAGGGGCTGCGAGAGGAGGAAGAGCGGTTGAGCACGTTAGAAAAGCAGTCTAGAGCAAAATGGATGAGGGAGCTTAGCTGCTATCTCATGTCCTTGTGCAACTTGGGCGACGCAGAAAGGGGGCGCCGGGCGCATCAAAACACCCTTGTAGTGGCGGCAATCAGGGCAAAGTTGGGGGATGGCAACCTCAAGATTCTGAGAAAAGGCCAACGGTTCTATTGCGCGGGGAGGATGTGTGACAGTCACAAAAAAAAAAAAACCCTAAGCGAAAGAATAAGGGGAAGTCAAGGGGGCAGAGAGTTACCACAGTCTGCATGTGCACTCGGTGTCAAACGTTGGGGGCGTTGTCATGTGTCGCCGCTGCTTCAGCGACCCGCCCAAGCACGCCTCGGCGTTCGCGGCAGCCTCCAGCTCTAGGAGGGAAAAGAAAGCTTTCAAGTTATGAAGGGAAGGAGCATAATGTAGGCTCCCTGCGAATTTTGCGTCCCGACTACCACATGTATTTGCATGTTTCTTTTCGTGGGCACGAGAGCGCGGGGGGTTGTGTTCGCTGAACAAACATGTTGAGGCGTCCCTGCAGTCCAAGAGGTGCAAGAAACAGGTCAAGTGGTGAAGGCAACGAAGCGTTCTTGAGGCCCTCCCAAGGCTATTTACATTTTTCTCGTGGGCACCGGAAATGATAGTGGTTGTCTGAAGAAAACACTTGCGCTCCTCGAACTATGCGATTTCGATTTTGCACATCGGCCGTGATCCAAGCGCCTTGGCTTCCTTTGAAACACGCGTCTCGACTTCAGGTG